ATTTATTATGTCATTATTCATGATAGCTAAGACATGGAAGCAACCTGTGTGTATAAATAGATGAATTAATAAAGAAAATAAGATACACAGGTGCACACACGCACACACACAGGAAATCTATTCAGCCTTTCAAAAGAAGAGAATTTGTCATTTGTGACAACTCAGTGAACCTGTAGGACATGTTAAGTGAAAGAAGCCAGAATGAAATTTTAAAAATCATCAATCTCTTAACATAAGAATACACAATTACTTAATCAGTTTTGTAGTTTCGAATTCCACTTCAATCACAGGAGGATATTATCTTTCACTGGCTAATTAGAACATAACTTTCATGTAGATGCATGTACCTACTGCCTAAAATTGGTTACAGTGACTAAGTAAAAGAAACAAAATGCTGTAAATAAGATTACTGTATTAAAATATAATTACAGAAAAAAGATAACCAAAAATTAAAATTAAATTTTATATATGTAATACAATTTATGAAAATCATGATGGAAGCTGTGTTTATTTTTTCCTATACTTATTTACACATTAGAAAATTGTCTGAAGCATGACCTTGGCTAAGATAACATCACTTGTATGGTGAGAAGGAAATTTTGTGAAGTATTTTATAATAACTAATGTACTTTATTGCTTGGAAAGGGACTTTCAGCCAAAACAATGAATTAGTACAAGATTTCTTCAAATCTTTAGTTATCTATATGGGTATTGTTTGGTTGGAAGCCTTGCTCATGTATATGTGTTAAATTTTGAATGACTGAAGAGAATGTTTATAATTGTAAGATACAGGGATGGGAAAGACCTTAAAGATAAGGTAGGGTAACAGAAGATCAGAAAGGTAAAGTTACTAAAGGAGGATGAGCACCATCCCAGCTCTCATGACTTCTTAGACTTTCGTGTTTTTTCAGTGCACTATCTGCCTTAGTAGAGTCACCTGGTCCTTTGTAACAGCTTTTCTGTTGCTGATTAGAATGGGATACGTGGTTGATCTCTCTGAATTCTAAATACATTGATTGAGATGAAGGAATATTTTATTTGGTTCCCACTATGAATTCATCTAAGTAAATGCCTCCATTCTCCTCTTGGGATCTTGTGCATTCATGCACACGCACCCGGTGTGAGTGTAAGCTGCTGGGTCTGGGACTCCAACTGCAGTAGACTACATGAGTCCAGCAACATAGCCATTACGCTAACTGCTGGTCCCTACAGCATGTATTATTTATAACAGATTTATGTTATTTGGTAGTGTAAACACTGGTGAAATTGATGACATAAATAAAAAATCCTTTTATGTTAGGAACTTTACATTGGTGTCAACAATCTGTTTAAATTTCATCTGGTGGGACCAGCAGATGGTGTAATGGTTACATTGCTGGACTCCCACGTACTGGACTGCGGTTTGGGTCTTGGTTCCATTGGCTTAAACTCATGCTGGGTGCATGTGCGTGCATGCCCAAAATCCCAAGAGGAGAATGGAGGAGAAGGGATTGTGGCATGGCCATCCCCCCTCAGGGGGTGATTTCTCACTTTCTGCCTTTCTCTTTCTCTCGGGAAAGTGCACAATAGCAAAAATCTCATTCAAAAAAAAAAAATTCATCTAGTGAAGTTGTAGATTAATACTACTTTAAAAATATAGTAAACAAATGACCATGGTAGGAAATAAGTAGCTTTGTGTTTACTATGTTTATTAGTGTGATATATTTTTAATCAATATGATATGCGTTGTTTTTTAAAATTAATTATAAAAATCTATTACCTGATACATTGTTCTCTTTTTGTACTTTACCTAAAATGGTCTGTGCCCATTTACTAGTATTTAAACAATAAAAAAATCTGTTCTTTATAAGAGACAAATATTCTGTAGGGCACAGATCTTTATTAAAGTATACTGTTACCATTCTTCCAAACTAATCAAAAAAAAAGGTACACGATTATGTTTTACAACTAACCACTCCTATTATTCCCATAGATTCAAAAGAGTAGCATCCATAACCTAATGTGCATTCCAGAAATCTACATTTTTATTGATTATCCACTTTATTCCTATGTAAGCCCTCTTCAAACAACATTTTGAGAAATCTGTAAGTTGGGAATTATCCTATGCATGTTTATGCTTTTACATTTCTGTGAAGATATAGGTATTTTCATTTCATATAAAATTCACAAAGACATGGCAAAATATGCCTATATGATCTATAAATACCAGCCCCTATTACTTTCAAATTATGAACCTATTTCTTCTTAGTTATTTTAGTGTCCATGTCAGTTTTACACTACCCAGTTGCAAGTCAGCCTTTGATGGAGGCCCTAGGAAAATCTGGAAGCATCCTGCACTGTATTGTCAAGAATAATAATTTTAAAGAACAGGATGCAAAAACCTGGACTGTTAGGAAAAAGATATAGGCTGGTATAAAGAGGGTGAGGTAGTCTGAAGAAAAGCCAGCAAACTCGTGTGGCCACTCTTAGATTTTTGGCTCCAGGCTGTCAATTTTAATGTCTTATTCTCCCTTAGGTAAATTGGAAACTACTACAGTGGTAAAACATTATTTTTTATGAGTTTCAACCAAAATGCAATTTGTGAAGAAATAACATTTGTTAATTTTTGTTGTTGCTATTGTAGAAGCAAGATAGCCCTCTTGGGGAACATTTGGAATACATATGTTACAAGGGAAAAATTAATTCATCCATCTAATCAGACAATATTTGAATTTCTTTATACATATCTGCTACATCTTCACACATGCATGTCTCCATGCATATTTTAAATTAAATGATTTCATGGAAATATAAATACAGAAAAGTGCAGAGACTGTGATTAGACAGCTTAATAAATTTTCACATAGTGAACACACCTATGTAACTGTTTTTCTGTGCAAAAATGCATGAGGGCCTTGCTGATGACTCAATCCTTATAACAAGAAACAAATTAATCAATTCTCCAGAAGCTCAGCCTTATAATTACCCTAGTTCCTACTCTACCTTCTCCAAAGTGACCAAACCCTGATTTCCATCCCCATGTAGAGATTATTCCTATTTTTAAAATTTATATAAATGGAATCATGCAATATATACTCTTTTATATCTGCCCTTTTACTCAACCTTATTTTTATGAAATTCATCCATGTTGTTACTCAATATCAGTTGTTTGTATGTCTTATTTTTTTTTAAGAGAGAATTTTTTTGCTATAGGGCACATGCACTTACCAGAGAGAGTCAGAGAGACAGAAAGCAAGGAATCACCCCCAAGGGGGCGGGGGAAGGCCATGCTGCAGTCTCTTCTCTTCCATTCTCCTTTCTGGATCTTGGGCATGCATGCACACGTGTCAGGCAGAAGTTTTGAGCCACTGGGTCCAGTACTCAAACCTCTGTCGGCCATGTGGAAGTCCAGCAACATAACTGCACATAACTACTATGCCATCTGCTGGCCCCATATGGTCAGTTTTTAATGACTGTGAGATATTATGTATGAGAAAATTATAGAGATTTGGGATAAAGTTATATTGCTGTAAAGAGGGTGTGCTTTTGCTTTTGTTGAAAAGGAGCAGATCTCCTTAATCCAATCAGAATTTGAATGTTGGCTTTAAATCTGAGTATGGTTTGGTCTAGTCTCCCGCACCATTACTCATATTATGTAGAACTTTGTTATCTCAAAAGAAAGCATGGGTTATTTACCAGGACTTCCCCTCGTTGGTAGCTGAAAAACCCCATGAGAGCTGTAAACTTCTTCATATTCATTCACTCTTAGTCATTTTTGTATGCTCAGTTTTTATAGCTTCTCACCCTAAGCCATTTACAGATGAGTAGGAAACTGTGTATGTGTTTTTGTAGACAAAAATTGGATAATTCTTTCATGACAGTTTGACCCTGCTTTTTCTTCTGAATTTTCATCTACATGTTATTTATTATTATTATTATTAGTTTTAGAGATGAAGGAAAGTTTATTGAGAGAAAGAACACCAGGGGTTCTGAAGCCAGAGGTGCTTCAGCCCACCCTACTAAGGAGATGTGCTGTATTATATGGGAGGGGTGGAGGGGCAAGGTCACAGGAATGGCAGGTACTTTGATTAGCTTACTTGTCACTGTGACTTTATCAGTTCATCCATGGCTGTTGGCTGCCAGTAAGGGAGGATTCTGGCCAAAGGTCACTGCAACCATCTCTTTATTTTATGATGGGAAATTGCCTAAATATTTTAATGTCAAAGCAAACTGGATGCTGTACTTTCCAGGGGAGGGTTCTTTGTCCTTGTTCTCAGCCTCCCACGCTGTGGTAGAGCCAGGTAGAGGTCATGTGCTATGTTCAGGCTTTGACTAGAAAGAACAAGTGTGCAGCTCGAGTCACGCAGAAAGATGTTCCTTGATTGTACAAAAGTGACTTACCCACCTAATGTCTTCTTGTTGCAACAAGCAGGGGTTTTCCTTCTAACTAGGTAGCACATACTACTGGTAGGTTTACCTGCTTGCCATTTGTATTAACTGTATGCTCAGAAAGTAACCCTTTCATGCCTAGGATATAGTGTCCAACTCTTGGTTTAGATGTGAACCTAGACATTTACTAAGGTGGTATTTTTGGATTACATTAACTTGCCTGAAATTATCCATTTGGTGCATCGTGGTATTTTACAATGTACTCTTTTTATTTTTAAACACTGAAAACTGTAAGTGGAGAAAACTACATTTCAGAGATAAAGGGGTGTATGTGTGTATAAATAAATGCTTGCCACCCATAAAATGTAAACAAGATAAAGGTAAAGTCATTTTCTAAAAGTAAGCCTCTAGGAAATTCTTGACATTTTCAAGAAGATGTTTGCCCTTTAATATCATCATTTGCTTTTTCCATCTGTTTTGGGGGTATTTGGAAATTATAAGCTTCTTTTTTATTTTAGAAAAATTTAAACAGCTAAGGACTTTTGAAAATAGGCAAATGTTAGGATGGCTACTTAACTGAATTCCAAATAAAAAATAGCTCTTCTCATTTTAATGAACTTTTTTTCTTTAAGACCTCAACTGCCACAGTAAACATAGTAGTGACAGATGTCAATTTCAATGCTCCAGTGTTTGATCCCTATCTGCCTAGAAATTTATCTGTGGTGGAAGAAGAAGCCAATGCCTTTGTGGGTCAAGTAAGGGTAAGTGAATATTTCTATATACTTATGTATATTTCATTTTTAAAACTGCATATATTTCTCACATTTTATTTTTGGAAAGAGATGCAGCTAATTTCATCTCTTAAGTGACTGTTCTGAATATTTATTAAATGTTAATTTACATTTTATGATCACTATGTAATTTAAGCATCAATAATGTCAGATTATATTATTAAATATTTTTAAAGAATTATTTTATTAATTTTATTTATTTATTTGTTTTAATTTTACCTGAGGTGGGGCAGAGTAAGAGAGAGAGAGGGAAAGTGAGAAAGTGAGCCTCCAGGTCCAGGATTTGAACCGCAGTTGGCCATGTGGGAGTCCAGCACCCTTAACCACCATGTTATCTGCTGTCCCCTTATTTAAATATATATTTTTTTGGGAGAGGTGTTCCCCCCCCATAGGGCACATGCACTCACCAGAAAGACAGAGAATGACAGAAAGCGAGAAATCACCCCCGAGGAGGGATTGCCATGCATCAATCCCTTCTCCTTCATTCTCTTGGGCATGTACACACATGCACCTGGCGTGAGTTTAAGCCACCAGGTCCAGGACTCAAACCATAGTTGACTACATAGTAGTCCAGCGACATAACCATTACATCAACTACTGGTCCCAAGATATATATATTTGTATTTACCAGAATTAAAACATATTTAGAGAGTTAAGTAATTAGGTATACCATTAGTTGTGGATGTGGATATTCAGGTCTCAAATTACATATATTTATATGTGAATTAATTTGATTATGTAAACATATCTTTAGCATCTCTAATATGTCATATTTCACACATATCCCTCATCCAGGATCCTGAAGATTAATTCTAGTCATGTTCTGCTGGTTCCTAACTGGACATAGTAACCTGTTTCTACAGTTCTTTGATGAATAATTGAATAATTGCTTTACTCGTAAAGTAAAGGCAATGCTGCTTCAATGGGGCTGTGCTTTGGTTTTGAACACAGTCAATGGTCTGGAACTCACGAGGGAGGGAAAAGTTTGAAGTAGACATGAGTATGTCGATGAATCTCCCTTACATAAGGCGCCCTTGTGGTCTCCAGGCAAGGAAAGAATCTCCCACAAATGGAGTGGTGTGAGCTGCTCAGGAGTCTCTAATCTCGCTTTTATTCTGTTAAGGCACTGATGTTTGCAAAGCTGGTGCTTTGAAGTAAACCTTCTCTACAATTCTGCCCCTCCTGTAAGCAGACACAGAGACTAATTTTTAGTCTAATCTTCTCTGGCTGTAAAAGAGGAGAGTTTTTTTAAAAAAATTCTTTCAAAGAGATCTTGTAACTTTCACATCATGTTCTAAAATTTTAATTGGCTAATTTGAACCTGTTTTGTTTTTGTGTTTTGTTTTGTTTTGTTTTTCCTTCAGCACACTGACAGTGCTTGAACCAATTACCAGCTCCACAGTCATGATTATTACCATTGTCACTATCTGTCGAATCCTGGAGATATTAGAGAAGACATAAAGCCCGTCTCAGTTTATGCCATTCCAGTTAACCACAGAGAAGCGTGATCATTGTTTTGTTATACCATGCCCGGTGTCTTTATGCCAGCGGGCCAGCAGGTGACTCAGCTCTGGAATCCTGTCTGAAAGCTCTGCTCCCTTCACAATACCTCTGGTGTCAATATCTTACTGTGGTTTTTCTAAGAAAAGAACCTGGAGATAAATATTCAAGCATAATATTTTTTGAGAAGTTCAGTTCATGCTAGCAGGGAAGTGAAGAAGTTATGGATAGGAGAGAAGGCAGCCAGTGAGGATTGCTGCTAAACCAGTAATCGTTCGGAGCACTGGAGTGTAATCTCTAAAGCCAGCTCCAGGAAAGGGTACAAATTTATGCATCCAAATTATCCCTCCTGAGAATTGATGAAACTGGAAATTTCACACACTAATTCTGAGAATTTTTGGCTGTGGATGCTGGGAGGCAGGATGACAAATTTTTGGCCCTCATTGCCTTTAGTATAGCAAGAAGCCAAGTTCCCTCTGCAAATTCTCCTATGAGGGCATGAAGTCAGCAAAAGGAATTAAAATACTAGCAAATGGAAGTTGGCCAGAGTGTAGCATGTACTCTGAGGCACACGTAGAAGGAATTAATAATTTTGATTACACTAAGCAAACAAGTTACTAAAATCTCTAATAGGGGTACATCAAAAAAGAGAAAGAAGGATGATGCAGAAGTTGATTTATGAAGGAGGTATGCTGGTAAAGGGAAGTTAGGAGGGTTTAGGTGCTATCTAGACCAAGATAATAGCCTAACTGAAGATATAGAAAGATGAGACTGTTACACATAGTAATTATAAAAATGACATGGCACCTCATACACATTTCTCTATATTCATTGTGAAAAGTAGCAGTGGTGAGGGTGGCAGGTGGCACGGTGGTTAAGGCACTGGATTCCCACATGGCTGACCTCAGTTCACGTCCCAGACCACGCAACTTGGTTTCTCACTTTCCCCCTCTCTGTCCTTCCCTAGTCAAAATAAAATAATAATAATAATTAATAAATACAGAAAATTAAATAAATAATTCGTTTAAAAAATAAATGGGAGGATCGGCAAGTGGCGTGGTAATTAAGGGTGCTAGACTCCCACAAGGCCAACCACGGTTCAAATCCTGGACCAAGTGGCTTGCTTTCTCAGTCTCTCTCTCTCTCTTTCTCTCTCTGGTCAAATTAAAAAAATAATACATGAATAAATAAAGTTAAATAAAATTAATGGGGGAACCACTGAGTTATGGCAACATCAGATTTGTATTTTATAAAGATTATTCCTCAGCACATTGTAATGACAGTTCTAAATCTAGGACTTGACACAGGTGGCAATTGTAATAGCCCAGGCATACAAGGCTTGAAGTAGTGTAATCATAAAGGTAATTAAATTGTATTACAGTTGTCATTACAATGCCACATGGATGAAAATCGAGGCATTTATTCAGTCATATCTGTCAACTACTCAGATAAAACAAGTGGATGTTTAAATCATTCACTAAAATTATTCTCCCTATTGGGACCAGCAGTTAGTGTAATGGCTATGTCGCTGGACTCCCATGTAGTCGACCATGGTTCGAGTCCCGGACCCCGCGCAATACAGTTCGAGTCCCGGACCCAGTGGCTTCAACTCAGGCCAGGGACGTGTGTGTGCGTGCCCAAGATCCCAAGAGGAGAAGGGAGGAGAAGGCATTGCAGAGTGGGCATCCCCTCTGGGGGTGAGGGGGGGGTGATTTCTCGCTTTCTATCTCTCTGTCTCTGTCTTTCTGATGAGCGCACGTGCCCTATAGCAAAAGAATTCTCAAAAAAAAAACCAAAAAAACTATTTTCCCTATTTTTAAAATGTATTTAGCTCTGGAGAGATAGAGCCCATGTGCAGTGAACAACTAATAACATGTAAGTAGACATCAACATAATGATTGGTTCTTAGTTAATACTTTTTCCCTTCTTTCTTTCTTTTTATTTTGGGTCGCTTTTCTTAGTGATTCTTTTTCTCTGAATGAATTATTGTAGTAACCTTTTTCTTATCTCCTACTTCTTAACTTTTATGAGAAATGGTCTCTGTAATTTAATTCCATTTTAAAAAATTGAAATATGGACCTTAGCACTTATAATTTGATACAGCATAATTGTCCTGGTTCTAGGCAATAATAACATGTTTTCATAAAAATTTAAATGAGCTTGAAAGTACAAAGGAATTGAAAAATATTTAAAGCGGGCTGCATCCAACTGATTCTGCACAGTTTCAGAGAAGTTGTAATGTTCACAGAACGGAATTTTGATGCCTCATAATGGTCTCCTGTTGCTACCTAATGATAATTATATAATACATTAATTCCACCAAATGACTCCAGCTCTGCTTGTAAAATTTAATTTTAATTGTCACCGAAACTATTAAGACATATTTAAAACCAAGATACGTATGGTTAATTACTGTACTGAATTTGAATGATCAAGTTTGTATTTATGTTCTGATGACATTTTAATATGAATAATCCAATATTTGGACTCAAATACTGAAGGAACTTTTTATTTACCTTTTATAGGTAGTGTTGTACTAACAACCTATATTAACTAAGAAGTATTTAATTTAGGAATTATAGCTAGTACAAATGTTTCACTCAGCATATTAAAAAGTAAACTATCAACCAGCGATTGTTTATTGTAAATATTGCAATTTCCAAGGTAAATATAGCATTTAAAACCTAAAATCTCATCTGTAGTCTCAAAGTGTTTGCAGTTGAGGACTAAAGAGAAAAGATACATGCAGAATAAAACTAGTAAACAATGAAGAATATGCAGTTCTCTGTCCAGTATCACATGGGTGATATAAATTATGTACTGAAAGAAATGACAAGCTTGGGGTTCGAGAAAAGCAGATTATAATTTCTTGGACAAATTCTTGTTTAAAAATGGCATGTTTCCAGCTGTAGACTTGGGTGTGCCTCCCAGCATCCTAACTATGCCTGCTGGAAGTTATTCATTCTAATGATACAACTCTGTATCTTCAGAATAAACCCTGGGTGTTTTGAAGCAAAATATCATGATGCTTAGTTCAGGTGTTGATGTTGGACTGGGCGAAGGTGCTCAATGAGGGAGCCTGAAATCTGGTCTGTACCATTTGCTTTAAAGAGACAAAATTTGATGAATGAGGTGAGGAATTTATTCAGTGAGGCCAATACCAGAGGGTGAGCAGACTGAAATTTATAACCATCTCCACATACTGGATAAGATACAAAACTTACATAGGTGGAGAGGTACATTTTTTTTTTTAAAAGGGGGTAAGTTGTTCATTATCTTCAGGAAAAATGAAGAGACAAGGAAGCCTGGTCATTACCTTTGGCGGGATCAGAAGAAACCTGCCAAAGTCAGGAGGCCATCATTGCTCAGAAAGCAGTTTTCCTTTTGGGTACGCAGGGCAAGGTGGAGTGATCATTTTCCATTCTCTATGAAGGGCTTAAAGATAAGCAATGTTTTAACAAGGAATCAAT